ATCATACCTAATAAAAATATACCTTTTTCTTTTGTCTTCAAGCTTTGTTCTTTGCTGATCCGGCACGTGTGCATAGGCCACACTACCGAATACTTTGAGATGATAAAATGTCGATTTTTGTTCGCTCCACATCTCTTGCGGTGTTTGATCACCCAACTTCGCATGTGGACACTGATTTTGCATGTAGATGGCGCATTGCACGGCTTTCAGCCAAAATTCCTTCGGCATCTTCTTGCTCTTGAGCATTGACCGAACCATGTCGAGAATGATCTTGTTCTTCCTCTCGGCCACACCGTTTTATTGTGGAGAGTACGATGCGGTTAGAAATCGCCTTATGCCTTGCTCCTCATAATACTCCATGAAAACTGTCGAAGTATACTCGCCACCACTATCAGATCGTACGAATTTGAAGTGTCAACCAGTTGCCTTTTCCACCATCACTTTGAACTTTTTGAACACCTCGAACGCCTCAGATTTTTCTTTCAAAAAATAAACCCAAGTTTTTCGTGAGAAATCATCAATAAAGGAAATGAAATACCTCTTACCGCTAGAATATTCGAGGGTAATTGGTCCACATAGGTCGGTATGAATCAACTCAAGATGTTGATTAGTCCGATATTCTGCCTTCTTTTGAAACAAAGTTCTCGCATGCTTGCCGAGCACACATTCTTCAAAAAAAATTCCCTCGTAGTCCATGTCTGGTAGCCTGTGCACCATATTCTTCTTCACCAACTCGTTTAGACCACCATGATGTAGGTGACCAAAATAGAGATACCACAGTGACGTCTTGTCTTCTACGTCGACCTGTAAACATTTTTCACGCATGCTTCTCAAATTCAGATTGTACATGCGATTTCTCCCCAATTCAACTCGAGCGACCGAACGCCCTTGCTTATCTTTCAAGTGTAAAACCCGGTATTTCATAAGCACCGAATAACGTTTCTCCATGAGTTTTCCTATACTCAAAATGTGGCTCTTGAGGTCTGGTATGTAATACACATCTTGGATTGACCCAACTAAGCCATCCTTTTGTAAGTAACAAACCGTACCTTGTCCATTGACCTCAACCTTCGACGCATCTCCAAATGACACATGTCCAGTTTTCACCTTACGCATCTCTTTGAATAAGTGCTCGTGCCCCCATATATGGTTGCTTGCACCCGTGTCGAGGTACCACACTGTGTCATTGTCGGTGTTTCCTTCGTTGTGTGTCATCATGAGAAGACCTTCTTTCGCCTCATCTTCTGTGGCTAGGTTGATTGTCTCTTCCACCTTTTTCTCGACTATACATTCTTTCGCAAAATGCCCTACCTGACCACAATTGTAACACTTATCAGAGTTGTAATCCTTCGCATAGTGACCATATTTGCCAGACTTGTAGTACTAGAGGTGTTCATCAACCGATCCAAACCGATTCATACCGCGAAAACCGATAACCGAATAAACCGAAAAATCAAAAACTGAAAGAAAACTGCAAATTTTAATTGGATTGGATCGGTTTTCGGATGGGTTGATGAAAACCGATCCAATATATTAATTATCCTCTACCTACTTGTCCTTTCTCCAATCATAGCCCAAAAATTTCTAAACTCAAGACCCATTAACTTATCAACTAAACCCAAAAAAAACTTAGTCACGTCTCATCAACTATAGTATTGTTTACTGATATTTTTGTATTTCAATTTTTTTTTTACAAAGCCAATATATACAAAATATGTTATTTGCACAATAATCATGAAACTAATTTTAGGATATTCAAAAAACCGAAAACCGATCCAATCCAAACCCAAAAAAATTGGATTGGATCTGAAAAAAATCTAAAACGAATGGATGATTACATGATCAAACCGAAAGGATTGGATCAGATGAGTTTTGCTTCCAAAACCGATCCAATCCAGACCGCGAACACCCTTATGTAGTACTCGATGTTGAAATAATTCGACCGACCGCCTCTCCTATGATCGCGTCCTCTTCCACGCCAATTTTGTTGGTTTGATTGCCCTTTCTCCTCATAATACCCTTCTTGACCATGACCTCTACCACCGCGACCATTTCCTTGATCTCCACGACCATGCCCTCTAACTCGAAAGTTTTGAGAATAGAGTGTCTTTTCATCTTTGATTGATGCCTTGGTTTGAAGTGCTTGCTCGAGTGTCTCCTCATTTTTCTTCTTCTTACGTTGTTCGGGTTCCTCGAGAGAACCAGCGAGCTCGTCGACCATGAGCATTGCTAGGTCCTTTGACTCTTCTATGGCACATACGACATTCTCGAAACTGTCGGTTAACGACCTCAAAATCTTCTCCACAATTCGCGCATTGGTTAATGCTTCTCCATATTGGTTGAGTTAGTTCACCACGATTTGAACACGCATGATATAGTCGTAGAAACTTTCTGACTCCTTCATCTTCATGCCTTCCAACTCGCTGCGAAGAGTTTGAAGGCAGACTTGTTTAACTCAGTCGGCTCCTTTGTACACCTTTGCTAAAATATCCCACGCTTCTTTTGAAGTTGTGACACTCGCAATCTTCTCAAAGCCCGACTCGTCAACAACTCGGAACAACATGTACAATACCGCCTTATCTTTCGATCGCGTCTCTTTCAACGTCTTGTTTTGAGCCGCCGTATATCCCGCGATAGTTGTTGGTTCTTCGAAATCTTCTTGGACCACCTCCCAACCATCTTGAGACCCAAGAAGAGCTTTCATTTGGATGCTCCAATTCTCATAGTTCGCCTTCGTTAGTTGGGGTAGCGGCACATTACCGGTCACACTCTCCATTAGCTCTGATATCAATTTGTTGGGAGAAGAGTAAGAAACATAGGAGATATTTTCACTAAGGCAGAAAAAGTAGTTACATTCACATTCAAACAATAGTTTTAAAATACAAAACTTGTAACTCCACAAGAAATACATAAAGACACTTAACACCACAATAAACTGACATAACTTCAGAAACTTAATAAACAGAAAACTGGACATTTAAACTAAAAAAAATGTTGACTCTTGACCTTTCATTCTCCTAAAAACTGCTGAATTAAACTCACTAAAAATTAAACTGACATTTAACGTTGATTCAACATGACCCCCGAAACCAGGCTAGGTCTCGGTGATCCCCAGGTCAGAGAGGGTCACTGAATTTTTTTTTAAAAAAAATTCACACAAAACGACGTCATTTTATGAGAAAAAAAAACGTTGTTGACATATTTCTGAAAGTGAAGAACAAAATCAAATCTTCTCTTCTCTCCCAGACGTCTTTACTTTGGTGGTTCCTCCTCCTCTCCTCCGTCATGGTGGTTCCTCCTCCTATTCTCTTCGGCTCCGACTCTTCGGTCTTCCTTCTCCGTCGCGGTGGTTCTTCTCTTCACTAATCCACTCTTTTTCTTGGTTGGTTTCTCTGCTCTGAGCATGTCTAGTATATTTTATTTACTAACTTACATATAATGTATTATTTTAGATGAATTGAATTTAGATGAGAATGATGTAGATGATGAACCTCATATGACCATTGTACCATAAAATGAAAGCAATGTTCCTTAAGGTTTGGACGGCAATGGTGGAGAAAGACAAGGAGAGTCTGAGTTTGATGATATAACTTTTCATTAACTCCATTAGAGTATATGTTTTATACTTTGATATTTTGATTAGTTTGTGTAATATTGACTTGTGGATGTAATTGGTTGAATTATGTTAAATATATTTTGAATATTTAATGATTGAGGTTTTGATTTTTTTGAATTTTTCATATAGAATATATATTTATATTTCTTTAAGATGTATAATTACTGAAAAAATATATAAATTTTACTAAATTAATTTTCTAATTAACGTTTAGAAAGTTGTAATCAACATTTATTGTAATCAAAATTTATATATTTTTTCAGTAATTATACATCTTAAAGTAATTCTTATTTATATTATTTAAACAACATTTATTGTGTTAAAATCACTTTTCAAAATAAATATTTCTAAATATAAATCAATTTACTTAAAACCACTTTTAACCAAATATAAATTTAAGTTTATTTAAAATTAAATTCACAAACTATAATTGAAACCCCACCACACATATGGCGTTGGAAAAAAGTGTGTTTCAAATTGATTCTATTGATAGAAAATTGAGTTTGGCTTGGGCAAAGACCATTGACAGAAATTGATTTTTATTTTTTAGTAATTTTTATAAAGAATTATTTCAACCCAAAAGCTTAGGTTGGTGGATAAGACTATATTAATAATTTTATATTTATAATAATTTTGTTCGAAAATAATTTTATCTTACATCATTCAAAAAAAATATTTGTGATTAAAATATCATTTTTAAACATAAATAAATTCTTTTTACATTAATTTCTGTTATATCAATTGTGTTAACAATAATCTATTAAAAAACAATCAATTTTACCAAAACTCAAACCAAATGACGAGAAAGGGTTGAAGTGAAAAAAAAAAAATTTGATAAACTAATATATTTTCTATGAGAGAGGCAATTTTATTGGAGACGAATAAAGATTAAGACTTTAGACTGGTTCCAAAAATAATATTTAAAATGATCAAACACTCTTGACCTGTTGAGCTCAAACCGCCGGCTGATAAACTTAGAAAGATCAATAAGTGAAACTTATGATAAGGAAGTGACCCTTTCTTTTTTGTCATTTTATACATTGACTTTCGAGGTAACTATCTATTTTGGTTTTTCAAAATCTGCGGCCGTGACAAATGACAATGGCAACCTACAACGACTAGGTATATGTGGACGCACCAAATAGTGGTCCATGCATTCATCTTCTCCGCCATATAACCCTATATAAATTTAATACAATATTCATTTCAGAAATACCTTATTGGCTAGCATATATGATCTCTCTGCTATTCAATAAGGCCTCCAAACCTAATCTTCAGGTATGCATGCTAGAACAACCTGTTATATTTATATGTGTGTGTTTCTTTTCCCATATAGATCTTTCTAAGTTTCCAAATATATTTATTTACAGGACTTGGAAGATTAATGGGGATGATTTTGAAGGCATGGGAGCGTTGCCGATCTTTAAAAGCTGGCAGTGGCAACAAGAGGTCACCATTGAAAACCACTTCAAAATCATTGTCCGAGAATTATGAGAAGGGTCAAATAGCACCTGTGGGTTGTTTCTCAGTATACGTTGGACCTCATAGACAAAGGTTTGTTGTCAAGACCGAGTTTGTTAATCACCCACTATTCAAGGCGCTGCTAGAAGAAGCAGAATTGGAATATGGGTTTAAAAGTGATGGCCCTATTTGGCTTCCCTGCAACGTTGATTTGTTCTACAAAGTGTTGGGTGAGATGGCTTGCGAAGATGATCATGTCATTACAAGGGCCAAGGGGCTTTCTTCTTTTGTTCTTCGCAGCCCAGCCCGCCTTTTTTGTTACATAAATAGAGATCATAGTGCATATAGCGTTGTGGATTCGGAAATGCTGAAAATAAACCAATTTCTATAGTATGTTATCAGTTCGTAATGCTTACCATTGTAGAATATTTCTGAGATGTAAAACGAATTCGAAAATACGTATGTACACCTAAAAACCAATAAATTTGTTAACGTTTTTCAGTTTGTTATCTGCATATGCCAAGATATGAGGCAATGATTATTTATACATTTGCGTAGTAATTGTATAGCTTAATTACTAGAAAAATTGAAATAATATAACTATATAGTTAAGTATATTGTTGCGAAATCGACAAGTATACCGTTCGTTTCAAGTAATAAAGTGATAAGTAGAGTATCGTTCCCACGAGGATTAATGCACCAAGTACTAGTTTAATTCTTCCCCTTAAGTTGGAAAATAAAATTGGTTTGAATTGTGAATATAATTGATTTTGGAATTTAAAAACAGAATTTAAAATAAAATAATATTTAAAAACAATTAATTTCTAACGCATGCAAGAAAAGATCAAGAACGCGAGAAAGTATTGATGAAAAATTTATAAAAAGGATGTAGCTAGGATGCACTTCACCTCCGATCCTCCATTATATTCCTATATTGTATTTTATAATAAATTAATTCGTTCGTTCAGACAATTCATTATTTCATATAAAATAGTTGAACCCTAATGTCTTAGTGATTTCAACCCTTTAACCCAATCAGAATTCTAATGACTTAGTAATCCCTCTTGAATTAAGCATTAAGCAAATGAATTATGAGTTTGCAATTTATGTAAGCCTATGTCTAGATCATACACAAATTGTTATTCTACCCTTGTTCAGATTAAAACCCCAATATGTCTATTGTGAATTCTAACCCTCAAAGCCCTATAATTTAGAGTGATCAGTTCTAAACAAGATATGAAAAATTAAACCAGGTAAAATAAAACAAACTAACTAATTAACTTATAAAATATCAATACAGAAAATATAAAGGATTCACATTGGGTCCATGATCCCAACTACAAAAATAAACTAGCTAGACATAGCTGATTTAACAAATTAAAATAAAAAGAATTCATAAAAGAAAAAGAAAAGAAGAAGAAGAAGAATCCTGATCTCCAGTGTGAGTCTCCAAGAATTCTCTCCAGCTAAAGATTCTTTGTCTCTGAGGTCTGAGTCTCTATTTATAGAGTTTATGTCTTGCTTAGAAATCTTGATCAAATCTTCATCTTGTATCTTGATCAAATCTTCATCATATATCTTGGTCCAATCTTTCTGATACAATTCTGCGATAAGTTGAAGATTTTCCTACAAAAATATAATAAAATCAGTGACAAGATATCTGATTGAGATTTATCAATTTAATAACAATTATAGCCCTTTTATCCAAGATTGATCAAGATTCTTTCTCTTTTTGGCTTAAAATCATATATATGCTGGAGGCATATCATATATGCTGTAACAAATATGTAAAAACAAGATAAGAGAGGAACATTGTAATAAATCTGTACATTGAATTAATTCAGAAGAGTACAATATATAAAGAAACACTAATGGGCTTAGCTCAGACCTAATCTAAATCCTAATGAAATAAGAAAATAGATCTTTATAAATAATAAAGATATTCTTTTTAACACTCCCCCTCAAGCAGGAGCGTATAGATAATAAGCAACAAGCTTGAATAAGAAAGATTAAGAAACATAAAATAAACGAGTGAGGGTTGTAACAACTCTACAACTCACCCTAAAGAAAAATAACAAACTAAAATAAAATATTATCTATATCTCGAATACTCCCCCTCAAGATGGAGGGACACTTCATCTTGGGAAGAAAGAAAACTAAGAAAGCAAATTAACTAGAATGAACATCAGTCTGAAGAGTTGGAAAAGACATCAACCTAAAGGGCTAAGAAAGACATCAACCAAAAAGGCTGGAAAAGGCATTGCTGCAACTGGGATACAAGCCGACGGAGCCACTTTAATTGGAAAAATCTGCGGACCAGGCAACAACTGAGAAAGACATCAGGCAAAAGGGCTGGGAAAGACATTACTGCAACTGGGATACAAGTCGACGGAGCCAGTGTAACTGGAATAATCCGTGGACCAAGTAACAACGGAGATAAATGCTGCAACTGGAATACAAGACGATGGAGCCAGTGTAACTTGAATAATCTGTGAACCAGGAAAATTCTCCCCCTGAATGGGGGGTCCAAAATAAAGCCAAACAATGGCAAAAATAAATTAAATACAAGTCAAATCAGACTTGAATAACACCACAAGCATATGTGGGAATAAATTAAAATTGGCAAAATACAAGCCATAAAAGAAAATTAAAATAAAAACAATAAATCAATGAAGAAGAAGAAAACACAACCCGAAGAAATAAGATTTGGCCAGAGAAGAAAAGATGATGGGCCGAAGGTGCGGCTTGAACGACGGAGAGCACGCGGGGAAGACGTGAACTGCTGCTGTGCAGAGGCAGAGATGGTTCTGGCCAGTGCTTGATGTTTATGGTGGTTGGGTCTTCGATGGAAGATCAGAATGAGAAGAAGAAACTAAGAGAAGCAGAGAAAGAAAGAGAGAAATGGAGCATACGGGAAAGCCAATCCCTCACAGAGGGTGATATCTACTACCATATTAAAATTATGAAAAAGAGTAAGGAAAGGCAAACAAGGATTCCTCTCGTTAGGCTCTGATATCATGTAAAATAACAAGAGACAAAGGGAACATTGTAATAAATCTGTATATTGAATTGATTCAGAAGAGTACATTATATAAAGAAACACTAATGAGCTTGGCTCAAACCTAATCTAAATCTTAATGAAATAAGGAAATAGATCTTTATAAATAATAAAGATATCCTAAAGATATTCTTTCCAATAAAATATATGTATTAGACTCCTATTGACTAGTTTTTGATTTAGGAATTGAATCAAATAGAGCTCCTTTAACTCAATGGTAGAGTAATGCCATGGTAAGGCGTAAGTTTTGGTTTCTTTTCTTTTTTCTTTTTTTACAGCTAGAGCCCGGTTAGTTGATCTGGGCGAATTCATTCGTTTTTTTTATAATTGAGCCATTTTTGAAGATCTATATGTTGGGGTTATTCAAGCGTGATGAGTCCCACATTGGTTAATAATAGGCTAAGTGAAGTCCATATAAGTAAAAAGATCCATGAACCCAATACCTTAAGGTTTTGGGTTGAAATGTAGTGTCGGACTCACTTGGTATGGTTGGCCTAGCTTAGCCCATTGGTGATAGTCTCTTGCTATGAGCTCCTCCTGGATCCGTCTGACAATGGTATCAAAGCCGGGTTAGGCTCAGGCTAGCCAAGGGTTTGCTTAAGAGGCGGGTTGAGTACTTTGGCCCTGGGGTACTCAGTTAAGGTGGAGCATACCAATATTGAATTTCATACTTGAGGGGAATATTGAAGTGTGATGGAGTCTCACATTGGTTGGTAATGCGTTAACTAAAGAGTATATAAGTAGGAGGACCCATAAACCCAATACATTAAGATTTTGAGTTGAGATGTGATGTTGGACCTACTTGATGTATTTGATCCACTTAGTCTATTGGTGGTGGTCCCCCTACCACGGGCTTCCCCTGAACCTGCCTGACTCTGGTATCAGAGCCGGGTTGGGCTCGGACTAGCCAGGTGTTTGGCTAGGAGGCAAATTGAGTACTTCAAGCCTGGATACTCGGTTGAGGGGGAGCGTACCAATATTGGGTTTCGCACTTAGGGAGAAATTGTTGGGTTATTCAAGTGTCCAAAGCCTTAAGTTTTGGATTGAGATGTGGTGTCGAACCCACTTGCTACGATTGGAGTAGCTTAGCCCATCGGTGGTGGTCCCCTGCCATGTACTGATGCCATGTCTTCTTCTTCTTCTTCAGTCTTGGGACACTGGTCAACCGATATATTGGAACCAATAGACATGGAAGTCAACACAGGTTTGTAGTCAATCATCTTGAATTTCTTCAAAACATCATCTATATAATTATGTTGACTCAATCATAATCTTCCTTTGTCATGCTGCCTCTTGATCTGTATACCCAATATCACATTTGCAGTGCCTATATTTTTCATTTTAAACTGCTTCGCAAGTAATCCTTTCACAGTGTTGATCATCTTCAAACTATTTCCAACGAGCACTACTAGAAAAAACTTGTATAGCGAGGGAATTGTTATGGAAATTCCGTCGCTAATTTCATCCTCGCTACTACTTTCCGTCACAAATTCCCTCGCAAACGATTTTGCGAGGAAATTTGCGACGGAAAGTAGTATAGAGGATGAAATTAGCGACAGAATTTTCATAGCAATTCCGTCGCTATAGAGATTTTTTCTAGTAGTGGAGTAACATGTCGTCAACATACAATGTTAGAATAATAAAATCACCTTATAACCTTTTCACATAGACACAAAGATCAACATCACAACGATCAAAGCCAAGCTTCACCACATAGGTGTCGAACTTCAAGTACCACATCTTGGGGGACTACTTCAAGCCCTATAGAGATTTATACATCTTGCAGACTAGCTCCTCTTTGCCTCTTACTACGAACCTCTCTGGTTTCTTCATGAAAATAACCTTCTCCAAATCACCATAAAGGAAAATCTTCTTTACATCTAGTTGTCTACCTCTTGGTCATATGCAGCTGCTACAGACAAAACAAGCCTTATGGAATTTAATTTTGCAACAGGTGAAAACACCTCACCATAATCAACCCCTTATGTCGTGAATATCCCTTTGCAACCAACCCAGCCTTGTAGCACTCAATCTCCCCATTGGTACCAACATTTTTCTTGAACACCCACTTGCAAACAATTGCCTTTTAGTCTGCAGTAGTTTCTCTAAACTTCAAGTTTGATTTTTCATTAGAGACTTCATCTCATTTTTCATTGCTTCCTCCCAATGTTTGGCATCCTCCGAGTTCTTAGCTTGTCTTACAGTGATTGGATCATCACTTGTAATATTCAGGGCACAACTATCATCACTAGCATAGAGGATGTAGTTTTCATTTGTATACCTCTCATATGGTTTTCTTTCCCTTATGGACTTCCTCAGCACTGGTGCTTCAA